ACAGGTCTTAATTTCTGTCGAGTCCAACACCTGCTTTGCATTGGGCTTGTGATGTCTTGATTTAAATCCAAGCACTGCACGTGTACGTGTATCCATGAGAATCAAATTGGATTTCCTGCCCCAAGTGGGATTTTTTAGAGGATTCACCGAGCTTCCCTGGAAAGAAAAATTACCCAGGGAGTTTCAGTCAGCAGAGGGGAAAAAGTTCGTAATGTTTCACACAGTACTGAGGTACATATACTGATGTAGGCAAGCCTTCAAAGCTTTGATAAATTGGCAAACAGTGTGAGAAAAACGTGGGACAAACACCCATCACTTGCATGCACGCACATGTAGGTCGTGACCATTGTGCCGGTCAATAAAGCATTCATGTCTATTTAACATGTACACTGTACGTGAAAGTAAGCCTCACTATGTAGTTTACACAAGCTCATGTACCGGTACATGTCCATGTACATGTATGACAATTGCCAACCAAAGACTACCCGGTAGCTTATTGCAGTGGTTGCTGATCTCGGGGAACTCATGTGGTCACATGGCACTTTGACATCATTCGATCAGAGGCTTTGAAATCTCCCTTTCCTTTTGTATCTTAAATTTTCCAAAGTGGCATTTATCTCATATATGTTGGTATTTTCCGGGAATCTTGCGGGTCTTTCTCACAGAAATAGTCAGTAATGGAAAGTGCTTCCAGTCTTTTGGTTCTCTCCCCATCCTGCTTTAGCTCCCTGGATATTTTACACAAGGACTATAACTGAGCTGAGTACATACTTTAGTAGTAACCCAATAACACTCTTTTTCTCTGCCCTCTTACAAACATTTGTGTAAGATTTGTCATAAAAACCAGTGTAAAGAAGAAGTGTCTGGGGTTTTGTGGACCTGAAACACCAAGTATCAGATTCCGAAATTGATTCCAGATTTGAAAAACATTGGTCAGTAAAATTATATGCTTACTGTGCTTGCATTCATAACACTCAGGCACACATGCACGAGACACACTCACTTACATGTATATGTACATGTATCTCCTGTATTCGCTTTTGTTGAGAACAGCGCCCTCTTCAGTCTCAGTGAGGACATTGTGTACATAATGTGAACACATGCTTGGATCATTTACAACCCACCCTCCCTCCCTTTTGTTTTTCTTTGGTCAGCATCTTCCTAGTGTTTGTGATGTTCCAGTGCACTTGCAGGCCCTCATTTTGACCTTTCAGGATTGCATAACATGGACCTTAACCCCCCATGTACGCGAATTTACTCACAGAACTTTTGGGCTGTTAGGGTTTATTGTGTGGGGTTTTTTGAAGATCAGCAAGTACATTTGCCTACAGGTACAGTAAGTCTGTACGTTATGGTTTCACAGTATTTATTCATGAAAGAATATTCAAGTGAACCATCTCACTTTTTATTGAAAGTGTAATAATTTCTATTAATACTTGTATGTACAATGTACATGTATTTTGAACCACACATGTAAACCATTTTCTCCTTTGAAGAGAAGATTTTGTTTCGCTTGGGCTGTACAGGTAGTTTCAGTTTTATGTCATGTATTATTTAAGGTTATTTTTGCCCACTGCTGTTTTCATTCAGTAGAATTTTGCAAATGTCATTGACATTTGGATCAGAGCCAGTACTGCCTGTCAAGATAGAAGATTTGTTTTGTTGTTGAGACCACACTATCTTTATTATTATTTACTTATTTTTTTTTTTTGGACCTTCCAATGGTTTTCTTTTTAAAGAAATTCCATTGAGAACATTTTTAATTTTTTTTTTTTGTTATTGTAGTTTTTTCACCAGATTTGTGACAGTTGCCATAGGAATGTTGGAAAATACTGGTATGTTGAAAATAAAGTTTGTGGTTTAAAGTTATCAGTGCAAAGTTGAAAGAGCATCAGGCTGTCTAAAGTTCCTCCTATCTCTAGAGATGCCCTCGTTTACCAACCCACTGAGACACAATGTCGGCTGACCGCATTATGAAAGTGAAGTTTGTTTTTACACGTATGTTCATTCCATCTTCCAGCTATCTCCCCTTTGAAATAACGTTCTCCAGTCCAGAAAATGCAAAAAACAGATGAAACCCTCATGGAAATTTCACTCGTCTCCAGGAAGACATGAGGGTACATCAATGAAAAAGAATATTCTGGTCTGGGATTCCCAGCAGGCCGTGCATGAACCTTCCTTCGTTAATTGCCTTGGCAGCTAATATTACGTGTAACAACAGATAGGGAAACCCTCAACGACTGATTGCCATGGTGACTGATATTACGTGTAGCAATAATATGGGAAATGTGTACTCATGAGTTTGTGTACATGTACCGTGCTACATGCATGTACGTGTACTTAATTTTTATGGCTCTTTGTGACACAGATAACCAATAAGTGATCTTGCCCGCCATTTTTTTTGTCTCGTTTTTGTTTAGTAGAAGCCATTACATGTAGTAAATTTTGGCTCGGGGCAAGTTTCATGAAACTGAAAAAAAATCTTCTAAATTGTGTTGTGGTCAAAGCCAGACGGTCTGAGACCAAGATCAGTTCCAAGACCACAAAGGTGAGACCAAGACAGACCAAGACACCCTGAGATTGAGACTATAAGACCTCAGGTAGAAACTACATTATTTGTAATATACAAAATATGCTAAAATTTGCATGCAGGTTAAATCCTTTGATTAATCCGAGATTAGCTTTTCATTACCCTCAGCTTTTCTCTACCCTTACAGTGCTTACAATTATCATACCAATAATAAAAAAGTTTCTTGTTGAAATAATTTAGAAGGTATTTCTCTTCGCCACTTACATGTATGATGCATGAAATAAAAATGAGGTTGGGACTCAAAATGTGGTGTACTTTCAGCTTGTCTGATTGCAACAGAAACAACACTGGACAAACAATGTAATTGATTTAGGGGCTAAAACAGGCTACATACCAGTATTTAATGTCTCAACCTGAGACCAGCAAAAATACCAAGACCCCATTTTTTCGAGACCAAGACCATGGGACACGAAGACCAATGCTGAGATCTACAAAATGAGTCTCTAGACTGGTCCAAAGACCTACATCTCTGATAAAACTAATACTTATAACTGCATTTACATGTACATGTACAGTGTATATAACACGGAATCATGAGATGATAAAAGGCCCTTATAAACAGAAATGAAAGAAGACAACTTTGTTGGTTTTTGTCACTGAAATCCCTACTATCTTCTTCCATGAGGTCAGGTCTCTAGTCTACATTGTAAATCAAGTTTTAGATGTTTTTCCTAATTTTTTTTCTGTTTATTGATTCTTTTGAAACACTTTTAAATGAACTGAGCTTAAAAAAGAAAGCACAGCATCTCTAATTTTTCCCAATGAATTTGCTCTTCTGATTAAAAGAACTGCTGTGTGGATAATCTTTAATTTCTTCCCTCTCATTGCCATGGAGGATGTTGTTATGGCAACCCAGTGTCTCTGATCTGGCATAAGCAGAGTGCACTTTGGCCTACTAAGGAAAAGTTGCTGTATATTTGACATTGCCTTGAGAAAAGGGAATAACTCATAACTGCATCTGGCAGTTCCACGTAACAGGGAAAATTGAATCATGAATGCAGCTACCAACCTCATTATCATTGGTACTTGTTGAACAAAAAAGGGGTATTTGAAATGACAGTGGAAATCATAAGTTGAACAATCATTTTGATTTCCACTTTTTTTTTCATTGTCTTACCGGGAATTACAGTTAAAAATCAGGTCGGTAATAGCTTTACCAAATTTCTCCTTTTGTATGGATTGCCCGTTAGTTGATCTTTTTGTATTTGAATATCTTTCCATTGCATGAATAGGTTTCAAAGAATGATTAATTCCGTGAAGTGGAAAAGAGGTTGAATCTGTTTTCTCAAAGAATGGGATATTGTCAGGGTTTGGACTTTGAAATTGCTCTTGAAGTATCGTTTTCCCAGGTTTTTAATATTTCTTTGGGTCAAAATGCTTTTGTTTTTTCATCAGAGACCGATTAACGGTAGTAGAGTCTGAAGAAAGTATAAGGCTATGTGGAATGTGCATCAAAGGAATGCCCAATGTTAGGACAAAAATGGTTTTCACAACTTTTCACCTCAAAATGTGCTTTGTTTCAAAATGAATACATTTTCACAAATTCCAGCCCCAGTAAATTTACGAACACACACCAATATTGACAAAGTGCTGTTTAAGTATGACGATTTCAATATTTCAATGGGAAGGACACATATGTACATGTATGCTGTTTGATGAAGGGTCATCACTGTTCAGACCCACACCACACTGGGAGGAAAGCCACAGCTTTCAATTCATCCTAGATGTGGATATAATTTGATGATGATTATACTTCCGCCCATTCCCTCTTTTTAATACTGGACGCATTGAAAGCATGGAACGGCTATTAAATTTCCAATCAATTCAGTAGTCTCTGCAAACCGTGAATACTTATTTGCCTCACCTGCAAACAAGTGGAGTCTCCCATTTGGCTTGAATAATTAATAAAGTCACAGCGCCAAAAATGATATTAAAAGTGGTATCTTGAAATCATTTGTAATTTGCTGCTGGCAACCCTGTTCCTTGAGCTGCTGAAAGTTCCATCAGTAATATGACAAGTTGTCTGCTCATGGGAAGTCTTTTAGCTGGAGCCATTGATGCGGAGAGCAAGCCGCAGTGACGGTCCACACTCTCCACCTGCCAACAAGTGGTTGAGTCCACCATTATCATTTAGTCGCCGTGGTAAACAGACTGCCTCCGTGCCGACTGAATTACAGAGCCAGTTTGCTGTCGCCATCTCCGCAGAGTGGATGCACCACGTCGTCCGAAGGTCCCACATCTTTCTCTTCCCAGGTCACCGGGAGCGAGGATCATCCTTCTGGAGAACATTACTGCGTGCTGTCTGGATGGCTGTTATTACAGGCCAGATTTCCTGATTGTATAGATTCTTGTAGGAGGGAACCTCAGATCACTTCTTTTTTTTTCCTCTCCTCTGAACGGATATATACAGGCCTGTCGAACAAGGGTTTTCACATGTGCTGAAAAGCAGACTGGACTCCGTGACGCAGTGGCTCGGCGTTATCATCAACCAGTGAGTAGCATGTGTAATTACCATATCTCTCATTGTCAAAGAGCATTAATTGATTCTGTCCACATGTAAATACATGAAGTCACAATTGGCATCTTACAAAATTACTGAAGGGCCTTTAAAATGTAATTTTCTGTGCTGCAGGTCTTGTGGATGTGCCTCTGTGTGGTTGTTAATCTTCATGATGAGTTTTTAATTTGCCAGTTTTAGTGGCCTTGTAACGTTGATACTAATACATTTGCATGTTTTTAAGCAAACGTGGATTGTCCTTTCGGGAAGAAACCTCACTGACACAGCCCTTTCAGCACTTGCGTGTAAATTGACAAGGATTTGGGATATTTTATTGTCTTTAATCTTCCTATCTTTGATGATTTTATGTTTCAGTAGCCAGTGGGCAAAGTTCTCTGGCAAGTATTTTCAGTGAGCAAAGTGGAGGCTAATTGTTCAAACGCATTTCAGTTTTTATTTTAAAGTTCAAATAGGCCCATAAATTGTAATGGAATAAAAAACAAGGTAAGGTCAACACAATCCATTTTTCTCTTCTAACCAATGCAGATGGTTTTGTATTTGTTAAATTCAGCCTACCAGAAGGGAAATGTTTCCTCGAGCTGTGACATGCTTTATTCCTGCCATTTCTCACCTCCTCTTTAAATTCCCAGCTGTATAGGTACATGCATGTACTTGCATCTAATCAGGGAAGTGTGCTATTTCAAAAGATGTATTTGCAGGATGAGGTTGAATGTGTCACCCAGTCTGATGAAAACAGACTTGGAGAATCTTCCCTAATTGAACAGTCTTACCTGAACAAAGTCCACTCAACACATTTAAAAGCTTTGGAACCTCAGGAAACCTTGGAAACCTACACTTGCGTTGGCATACCCCATATACCTTTATCATTGGCGACATGCATTTCATACATACAGTACTTAAGAATTGAAAATTAACCTGGAAATGAGAAGATTTCTCCTTTTTTTTTCTGTCCAGGTAATTCCTTTTAATTTCACAAAACACAGAAAACATTTCCCACAATGTGAGAAAATTGTCACATATTTCCCATAAGTGGAAAAGATGTTCACATATTTTCCCACAAGTTAAAAAAGAATTTTCATAGGTTTTCAGACAAGTGGGAAAATATTTTCCCATATTTTCACGTAATTATAAAAGGCTTCTCATAGGTTTTTTCCACAATTGGGAAAACGTTTTCACATCTATTTTCACACAAGTGGGAAATTACTTTCAAACATTGTGAACTGTGAGTGTGAAGGTAAATTTTTTTTTTTTTTTTCAAAAAAAAATCTCCCAGTTGAATTCCAAGTGTTAAGTTCTGTCTGCATAGTACTGTGCCGTTGAACACTGCCTGGGGGCTTCTGGCATCTAGTCTGAAGGATGCACAGTTACGTTTCCAGCACACATATTCACTTTTGAAAGATCCTTACTGTATTCAGGATCGACCTTTCCATAATGCCTGGACCTATAATTGTTAACACACCAGCGAGTGCTGTCATTTACATGTAGAGTGCTGAAGAGTGCTGTTCAGAGTTTGTCCATAATGTGTACAGGTGGTACGGTACTTTCAGCAGTCATAGCCGATGCGCTTTTCTTGTTGTGAAGTGTGAAAAGTTCGGGCATGAAAATGAATTGATGCCTGTTGAGACACATGTGCATGCACACATCCTTACACAGCTATACTTGTGGGGTATTTCCTTTGTTCTCGTGTACAAAACTCCCACACAACACGCCAAAAAAATTTCAAATCACTCCAATTTAAACCAAATTCACTTTCCTGGGTTGAAATCTCGATCGTATGTCCCTTATATAAAACACTTCAATTTGCGACAGATTTTTACCCATCAAAAATTTTCCCTTTTTGAGTTATTTCCAAATATCAGTTTTTGTGAAATTCTTGTGGTAATTTGGTACCCCACAATGTAAAAACTGGCCTTGTGGGGTACTTCCCATTGCTCTGGTACCCCACAAGGCCCCATGTATAAGCGCATACCCCCTTACATATGTATACTTAATACAAAACTCCCACACAACACACAAAAATTTCAGATCACTGCCATTTCAACCAAATTCAGTTTCCTGGGTTGAAATTTCGACCGTACGCCTCTTATATAAAACACTTCAATTTGCGACAGATGAATGGCGCGTGAAAATTCCTCCTTTTGAGTAAATTTGAAATATCTATTTTGTGAAATTCTTGTGGGGTACCACTTTAGTACCCCACAAGGATCAAAACTGGCCTTGTAGGGTACCTTCCATTGTTCCGGTACCCCACAAGGCACCATGTACAAGCACACACAGGTATGTATGGTACGTGTCCCGTTATCCACTGAAGTTTGCTAATACCGCCATAGAAGCCAATGATGAGATTCAGATTTTTTTTTATCTGGTTGTCACAAAACGCACGTTGGCCTGGGCTTAAGTAGGGGAGTGGCCTTCGTGTATAGCGTCCCCCTTCCACAGTGGAATTTTTGAATGAGTAATTCTTTTAATGTGACATTTGCTGTTATTTGTGCACACCAAGTTCACACCCTATTCTACAAGTAACCGTGCATTAGTTCATCTGTGCATGCCTATTTACTCTGTACATGAAAGCTCGTGTTCACACTTGGCAAACAGCAAAAATAGCAGATGACACTTAATAGTAAATGGTCCAATGAGAACTTGGCTCTCAATAATGAATATATGTATGAGGTATAGTAATATTAATTATTACCAGGTACTCACTAATTGCATGTAAATGCATCTCAGGGCTTCAGAGGCAACAATGAAAAATTCATAAATCATTCCATATTGACAATTCAAAGATGAGGGTAGGGTCTAAATACCTGTATCTCCTGTTACTCTGTGCTGTAGCACAAGTACGACATAGCCTTATTTTTGAAGCCCAACTGGTTATTTACTATAGAATTGTATGCATAATGGACTGGTACAGGATGGTTGGAGAGCTTCCCTCATCCTGTCCCTAATCTGGTTGGAGCGGAACAAAAGAGGGCGTGCTTTTTTGGTACTCAGCGCATAGACGCGCCATGAGGCGTTCAAGCATGGGTGCGTTTGACGCGGAGCACGCTAAGTACTCGTAACTAATTTACTCCAGCATGTATGGTCTTTGGGTACACGCAGAATGCATGCAAGTACCTGCTTGTAACCACCTGTCTGTCTTTCGCCGATTGGGGGTGCACTGCAGCTCGGGGCGGATTCAGAAGTCATTCTGTCATTCCAAACCAAGAGGAAACAGGGAAAGAATGTGGACAGATGCTGACATTTGTTACCCTGTGGCACTTGTTGGAACTTTGGTTGTTTGCATAGCTTTATTAACGGTTGGCAGGCATTCTAACTCTTAAAATATTTCCAGTCGTTTCCCCTACTGGAAATTTGGGGAGAAACAAAAGAATAGTAATTGTAAAGAAGACTGGAACTTCTGCCCTCCCCCACACTAAAATCCAGCTCCCCTGGCCCCGTCCTGCCATCTGCTATGACTACTTTGGCGATGCTGCCTGGGGTTCTGGCACAACCCACAAGCGTGCCCCTGTTACCGCCCAGAGAAAAGGCTGTGCATTTTGTTGTAAAGAGTAACATGTTTAATTGGGCAACAGAGAAATGTTGGACATGTTGCAAGGAACCCTGGATGAATGTTGAAATGGTCATTACCATGAGACTTTCCAGGTATTTATTACAACTAGGGATGAATATCAGAGATTGGCTCCTTCAGGTGACAGCCCCAGATCGTCTAGCAGCAGGACGAGACAAGGCCATTTCTGTTGCCGCTTTGTGCACGCTGTGTTCATGTATATCTGGTTATTTACATGTAAATCTCATTTTTGGCATCTGTACCTTCCATTAATGCATCGTTCTGGATGGCCAGCGTAGAATAGAGCAGGATGGAAAATAGAGCAGGGAAATTGAACAGGATGGAAATTTCACAAAATACATGGGTTCTTAATTCGTTTGCCAAATGTCAAAAAGTAAGACTTTTCTCCTTTACTTCCTCGTCAGTGTAACTCTCTTTACCTCGTCATAGTAAATCACAAAAAATATTGAAGAATATGAGTAAGAAAAGCAAGTCAAAAAGAGGAAGCAGAACATGAAAAGCAAAAAGCTTGTGTAAGGCATGCCATGCAAAATTTTAAAAAATACAAAAAACTAGAACTAAAATACACAGTAATTGTGCAAACATGTAACAGGGGTTGTGTGAAATTAGGACAATGTGGATAGAAAGTTGACAGGAGATGAATTAATAAGGATGAGATAAAATACCTGCATAAATCTGCTTCATCTGATTGGTGGTTTGTTGATCACACGTCATTGAATTATTCTTTATATTCAGTGGTACCTGTTGAATAGAACTTCATTCACTTGACCAGTTCCCCCCCCCATTTGAAATACATGTACATATATCTCATTCCCTGTAAGAAAAAGGGAAATAATGTTGGGATGGAAACCAGTCTAACATTGCACGGTACTATCAGTGGGTAGCGCTTTCGACACAAATATGAGTCGCAAAATGACAGACATTAATACGCGAACGGGACCCACCTCGTAGAATTGAACATTTCGTCTGTCACCTTATGAAATTATGCTTACTATTTCACTTATAGACGTTCATTAAGTATATGTAGAAGGTAAATATGTACATAATGTTAGTTCACATTTAAAGTTGAGTAAGAACTTTATCCTTTTGAGAGACAGTGGTAAAGTATTCCATTGTTTTAGGTCCAGAGAATTTAGCACTGTTTGAAAGGCAGATGTTCTGTGTTGGGGTGTATGGAAATGTTGCTGATTCTCTAGTAATGTACTGTACATGCATTTGTAATTAAGTTCATTTACAGATGTGCGGGTCTGTCTTTTTGTAGCCAGTTTCACTCACTCGGACATTTAATTGCAGGACATGTTTTACACCAGCCAGCTTCTAATACAGTATTTGATAATTTGATACTGTATTTAGGGATTACTGCATTGTGATGTGTGGCCAGCTGCATATAACATAAGGTCATGCA